TTATGGTACATGTCCTGTTCTCCATGAAAAGAGACATGAATTCTATGTCCATGGGCAGTCTACAGTTTTCTTTGAACTGTCTCTTCTCTATTTGTTCTATTGATTATTTGAAGTCCTTTGAGTAGATATATTTTTTAAATAGTATTATGAACTGCAACTTGACTATGATGGGGGCAAAAATCCAGTGGCAGGAAATTCAGCTGGCGTAAAGATTCGTGCAGTGTTTATTACAAAGGCTTCTGGAGAAACACTCAAAAACTATATCGGTTTGCCTGACATGGAGTTGTGGCTAATTCCAAGCTTTGAAAACTCAGCATGGTCCATCATGGCGATTTCTTTCATTTCCTTACTCGCTATGTCTGCAGTATTAGCTACATGCTTCTTCGTTCGCAGGCATCGCATAAGACGGGAACGTCCACGTTCTTCTCGTGTCAGAGAATTCCATGGAATGAGCAGCCGCTTAGTAAAAGCAATGCCTAGTCTGATATTTACTGCTGTTTTAGAAGACAATTGTACTTCGATGACTTGCGCTATATGCCTCGAAGACTATAGTGTTGGAGAGAAACTTAGGGTTCTACCATGTTGCCACAGTAAGTTTCTATTGTGTGGTTTTATTTAAATTTATCTGAAATTGATTCAAACTCTTGCAATTGTTTAACTAAAATGGTGGTTTCCTTTGCCTGTTGATGACTGGCAGCATATTTTGTTTTTGTATGCCCTGTATCCTATCTAGTAAATGACTTGTACGTATATAACTGTTATCAGGTGAAATTGATTTGCAACATGATGAAGTCTATTAGTTAGGATTGTTTGTGTGCATGCATGCAGGTGTGCTGGCTGGATTCTCTTTTGAACAGAGCCACCAGTATTGCAGTTTGCACATATGTTCATTTTTTGGCATTATTCAACTAAATAACTTATCGTTTGCGATCAAAATTAAAAAGAGATGAAGTTAAAATTGGAACTTCGATGGTAGTGCATATTGACCTCTATAATATGGAAGAAACAGCAAATTAAGGAAGCTATATAACATACTTGCCACTGGGGAAGAAAAGCCTGTCTATATGAAGACAGAGCTATAAGCTATTGGCAGGTGGCAGGTTATGATTCAAACTCATAGAAGGGTTCTTTTTTTTCCCCTCTTTTTGTTTCCTGGAAACAGAATTTCCCATACTTGTTGAATTGTTAAGAGAACTTAAAAGAAAAACTTGATGGTACAGTAACAATTCAATGTGTTTCGTGCTTATGGTTCTAACAGGGTATTATTGGGGAAAGTCATGAAAATTGTAGAAATCGAACTGAAACCTGATGCAGAAAATCCCTCCCGGTAATGGTTTAATCAGGTAAATATTATCCAGAGATGGGGATTGTGGGTCTAGTGCAGGGAGGATAGAGGATGTGTGACAAAGGTTGGGATTGGGAAATACTATGCTATCCTTTGGTCTTGCAAGGGCTTGAATAAGTGTTTATTCTTTTAGTTTCTTGAAATTTTAGTGCACCATCATTATTGTCATAATCTAAAAGCAGTTTCTTTCAGAAATTCAGTATGCATATGGACCGCATGATAATTTATTGGTTCTGTTCTGTATAGTCTATCAAGTCACAAGGCAATTTGCAGAAGAAACAAAGGATTGGCCATTGAAATAGACTAGTGTTAGGATGCAGTTTGCATCCACTGAAATTACTAGTAGGACATTGAGACTTCCGGCAGTGGACAATGGGGTAATGGTCCACATATAATTAAAAAAATTAGTTGTCCACTGAAGTTAAGATGAAAACACCTCCACTTTGATGGAGCCATGGAAGTCAGTCAGCTATTCTTTTCATTTTTTTTAATCTTTTGCTGAGATCTCTATTCTCCCTAGATGAGGATCTTTTACATTGCGTAGATATCTCGAATTGTATGCAGTAACCTCCATCTATCCATTGTAAATCGGTAGCAAACTAATGTTATGTTCTCCTGGGAAAGCTTGCCCAAACAGCATTGGTGCCATTCCTTATTTGGAAAAGGCATATGACTTTGCATCTGCAGCAGTTGAAGTTCTAGGACTTCATATTTTTACAATATTCAATTTCTTTCTTAGCAAATTATGAATGATTTGTTGGCTTCTTCAGTCTGGCTGCAGTAACTTTGTATAATTTGATCAAATAAAGAATGTCTAATGTTTTATTTCATGCGTTCCTTTAACAGAATTTCATGCTTTTTGCGTTGATTCTTGGCTTACCACATGGAGAACATTTTGTCCGGTTTGCAAGCGTGATGCGAGAACCAGCACAGGTCTTCCACCAGCATCAGAATCCACACCGTTGCTTTCTTCCACCCCTGCCTCTGTCGCTTCTTCTGCATTATCATCATTCAGGTCTTCGATACCATCATCGTCTGCTATACAAATAGGATCAGGACCACTGTCTGCCTCAATTTCTCATAATCACTCATACACCAGCATTCCATACGTTCAATCATCACACAGATCTTATCAGCAATCTCCTCCTATAAGTGTAAGCAGAAGTTCAGCAGATCTTAGAAATGCATCTTCACAAAGATCTTATGCCTCACATTTGGTATCACCACATTCATTGGGTTATCCATCTATATCTCCTCTTAACACAAGATATATGTCTCCATATAGACCAAGCCCTAGTAATGCATCACCGAATTTTGTCAGCTCTTCTAGTCAAAACTTGCATCCACTGCGCTGTAGTGAATCAGCAGGGACTCTCTCTCCGTTCGCCTCTGCTAGATCTCTACCAGAATGTTGATAAAAAGTTTTAGTTTGTGATACAGGGTTTGGGTGCAGACTGACACATGACCTGGAGCTGTATGGTAAGATTAATCAGGTCTTGAAATGCTGTATCATGGGGTGTGTACATGTAACATGATAATATGCAGTTTGTGTTTATCATTAAGGTTTCCCCAATCCATATATGTAACTGTGCTGCGTTGCAGTTTGTGGACATTGATGTTTTTGACAATTCCATTCCGGCTAATGTAGCTAACGATTGAGTTGTGTAAAATTAGCAAATAAAATGCTGTGCCTGCTGATATAGGTGAAGGAATTTTACTCGGGGGGATGTCTAATTTTACTTCTTTAGGGGAATTTTAAGATGCTGTGTTTTTTAACCATGTAACATTAAACCTAGTCATTGAATTGGTATTTAAATTTTAACTTTAATTTTTTTGATACAACTTAATATATATTTATTCTTATATTAGATAAATATTGAATCTTTAATATTAGTGAAGATGTACTTCCTGGTGAAGCTAATATTTTTTATTTGATCTAATTAATTGGGTTCATCATTATTTTAACAGAGCAAAAAATATTTCGACTCTTTTTTTTTTTTTTTTTTAATTAAAATGAGCTTTTACACTCTTTATCAGCATCTTAAAATGTATGGATATAATTAGCTGGTCATAAATTATATTTCCATCTGCAAATAAATTAAATGACATATCAAATAGTTATTTGTCTAAAACAATATAAGTTCACATGTTTTAGAAGATGTTATATAATTTAAAAAATTTTAAAAGCACTGGCAAATCTATTAATAAAAGTTGATTTTCTTTTTCTGGTGAATCTGAAAGCTGATTGGGTTACTCTGGGTTTTCCTTTTTCCCAAAAGATACTCATAAATTGTTAGTATCCTCAAAATATGGCAGCAATGTCACTTTTAAGCTGCACTCAGCCTTTAACTTATAGTGGTACAGTATATTTTCCATGGTATTATCAACTGAAGTATATTTACAACAATTCTGCTGCTTTCAGTATATCCTCGATACAACAAGATTTCGGGTATATTTTTAAGAAATACAAAAAGATTACATAACATAAAAATCTGAAGTAATGATAATTTTAAGTAACATCTCGTTCGTATTATCAAGCAAAATTTGGCGTCTTACTCCTCTAAACAATGGGTTTCTTAACTATAGATACGAAAATACTAATAAAAAGTTGGTTCGTCAAAATAAAATAAAAGGGCCGGTTAAGCTTGGGAATAACAATAATTCTCCAAAGAGAATAGCTGCTTCAGACAACTGACAGCCCTGTCAAATTCAAAATGTATCCTGACATTATTAGATATTCCCAGGCAGAAGCCTCACTTTAGTCTTCCTTGTCTCCAGATGTTTCATCGCTACTTTCGGCCTCAGAGGTTGTGGTATGAGCAGCTTGTCTTCGAGTGCCAACCCTGAGTGGTGGTTCTTCACCAATGCTTCGGATAAGCATTAACATTGCAAGCAAAAACATAATTATGTAAATACTTCTCACACCAATTAGAGAATTGATGTAGCCCAACAGGGATGGACCTTTAATTCTTTTTTGCTCTGTTCTTCCTTCTCTATATCCTTCTAGGAATCGTGAGATTTGAGAACCCTGATCATCCTCGTCGATGCTTTCTGAGCCGATAACCTTTTTGCAAAAATGAATATAGAACATCAGTATAGATCTTTTAGCTTTTCTCCTAAATGAGATTTTTAAAAGTCAGCATGACAATGTACATGAGAGACACTCCCTTGATGTACCTGCAGAAACAGTATCACAGGACTACAAATAACCCCAATCACAAGGCTGTTATGCATTCAATTCAGAGAGAGTATCAATTGAGTTTTATTCACAAGTAGTATGTTCAACAATGAAGAATCATACATGTTTATTGAAGTATCTATATAACCAAATATAACTAGAATTCTTAAATAGGAAACCAATAGAAAAGTTATGACTCTAGCAAAAGATAAATAAAATAATTGATGCAAAATGGTAACAGGTTTAGATTGCTTAATATATTAGAAATCATAATATTTTTAAAAAATATTGTATTATTTGATTGTATATTATTATAGTTTTATTAATTTTAGGATTTCATTTTTTTAGTACTCAATTTCATATTTGTATTAATAGTATTATTTCCTATTCCTACAAGTATTAGCATTTTTAAGTTTTAATCTTCTTTATGAAATGTTACTTGGGAAATATCATAAATATCTTTGTAAAATTTGCTCTTTGAGATAGGCTCCAGTTATTCAATCAAATATTCTGAGACTTTCTCAAGTTTTCAGATGAGTGATGCAACCAAATCTCTACGTATAATGTTTAAGACCCCAAATCCCAAAATAGGCAAATTAATCCTAATAAGTCCTATACTAGTAAAATAGGATAACTCTACACTAATAAATCCTATACTTGAAATGCCCTATGAAGGCCCCTGCTCCTACATGAGTACTTCTTCCCATACAACTTAGATGGGCCCGTGTCACTTTAATACAGCAAACTATTAAGAAAATAACATCTTGAGAAAAGCATCTACTCAGGAATCTCAATGCGCTTATTGCAAATGTTAATGTGTAGAGGAGAAGGGCGTCTTGCTTTATTCTCTCATTTATGCTTCGTTTTAAACAATTCTTACATTACCTTCCTAGTGAGACATAGACTAGTGAACTAACAAGCTCTCAAAAAGTAACAAAAGGTGATATGAATTTACAAGGATTAAAAAGCTCCCTTGTAGTATAGACATCAAAGCTGAGCCCCAGCCTGAGCATTTTCCCTTTGATGATAAAACTATTAGTTATATAGAACCATCTCATCTATGACCAACCCCAACGAAACAAGTTTAAGGTTCACAGGGACCTGACCCTACAAATAAAAACTCAAGACAACATTGACCAAACCAGAACTTCAGTGCAAGCTATCCTACAGGAGATTAGGTATACTTGTAAACTGTTGATTTACACTATGGACAACTATTGAGTACAATAACTGGAAAAATTAGAAAATGAGCTCCCTATTTGAGTAGGGACATGTTGAGAGAATAAAACGTGACAAATTCAAGATTGCTTACACATAGAGTAGGGGCAAGATGAGCATTTTATTGTTCCTATTCTTTTTTCAGAATTGTTATGAACTTAAAATCTCCAGACGTTGAAATGCTAACATATTTGTGGCAAAAGGTCATGCTGCGGCCAACCCAAAATGATCCTGCATTTTCAATTGCATTATGCTATACTTATAGGAGATACTTATATATTTGGGCTTCAAATCACATGTTTTAGTTGACCATTTGGTGGGTTTCAGTATCTATCTTGTCTTGAAGATTAACAATTTCCAAATACTGATACTTACTGAAAGGTATCCCTCATCTCCATCCCAAACAACCATCTTTGGTAGTTTGGTGCCCTTGCTGGCCCTGAATGAATCAGCAAACTCCTCCCATTGTGTGATCCCAACATAGGCAAATACCAGGTCGCGATTTGCAGATGCAGCAGCTCTCAATAATTTGATCAAATCCTTTGATTTTTCTTCAGTCTCATTCCCCATTATCGTCAAGACAATTTTCCTCTCATCATCTTTCAGTGCCTTCAATGTTTCACGATTTATGGGCACAGCTGAAGGAATCAAATTCTGTTTTACGAAATCCTCCAAAAAATCATCTGCATGTGTAAAAAAAAAAATCTAGAAGATAAGAGCTACTTTTAACTTAACCATAAATATCTAATATATGACAACTTCTTTAGGAAAGCAGAACAAAATCCCAACAGTATAGTGTTGACAATTACAAGGAATATTCAACACAAGCAATGCAGAGAAAACCATGCCAATTTCTATTAATAACAATGCTGCTATAACTGTCAGCTAAGTAGAAGCTACTGAGGTCACCAATCAAACCAAGTGTTAGCAATTTGAAGCTTAGCTCAGTAACAATGCCCCGTTGATAGAGTAGAAGCAATAAAGCTGGCTGTACATTTGAGGCTATTTGGTCTCATCATTCAAACAGGAAAGGAGAAAACTATACCTCTTGGAATGGAAAGAAAGAGAAAGTTCTGGGACAGTAACTTCATAGTTTATTCTCACTAACCTTTTTCTGCATGAATTTACAATAAAATGTTTGGAGCCTTTGGGACATGTAATATTAAAAAAATTCTTAACATTAGTAGCTTATTATGGATGGAAAAACTAACCATCAAAAGGGCCATAGAAAACACTCTTTTCATCATAACTTGGATGATGAACTACCACAGCAGGTACCTTGTCAAAATCATACAATACCATGATATCTTCAGAGTAATCCTTTGCCACAGCAAACCATGCCTTTTTCTTATATTTTGCTCCTAACTTTGATATTACTGACTCATCCAGTCCAAAACCAATAAATATTGGGAAAGAAGTCCCAGCTGTTTCAACAAAATCATTGATAGCAGCATCGGAAGTCAGGGAAGAGACATCAGGAGCAACAAATTTCTTCAGATACCGCACAAGTAGCTCTGCTTTCCTGGGTCCGTAATAGTCCATGGGAACACCATGCATGAAAAGCTTAAGAGTAGGAAATCCACTGCAAGAAAATTTGACATGAAGAAACTAAATTATGATTTATAACTAAGAAGATTTTGCATTTCAGGAAATTTTTTATATTCGAATAGTATTTTCTGGAACAATTCATAAAGAGCTTGAAGAAAATACACCATACCAATGAAAGAACAAGATATGAAGCTTAAATTAAAAAGATCAGGGTCTCGAACCTCAAGGTTAGGCTCAACTAAAATAATTATTTACAATTTTACACTGTATACATAAACACATTTTCTTAAAGCTGTACATAGGTAAAATCAAAATTCTAAACTCCAACTACCAAAGTAATAAACAAGCTGATTTATTTACGATTCAAAATTTGAAAATAGAAGCTTTAACATACTCGATTTCATATTTACTTGTAAGGCGAGTGAATCTATCCGCATTTACTTTTGCTAGCACTATGGGCTGTTTCAATCCAGCAAGAACAGGGGCAGCTGCATCTAACTGCACAGAACCAAAGAGTTGTGAAGTTAGCACCACCAAATAGGAAAGAAATGACAAGAATAAGATGGAGATGTAGAATTGAAATGGACTACAACATATATTAGAAAGACAGGAACTCAGCTACGAGAAATAATTCATATGAGACACAATATAAAGAAAATTGAAGAATCTTTTTTTTTTTTCAGGAAGAATATTGAAGAATCTTTTACTTTTATTAAAGGGAGAAAATTCTGAAACTTCAGCAGATTATAAGATTTAACAGTACGGGGCAAATGTATATTCGCCAATGCTCAATACTAAGCAATAATTTAGATTCCAGAAAAAAATATTTTCGCTATCAACATGACTGTCAGTTCAAAAGGAGAAAAATTGTCTTCTCTCTATCAAACATCCAAATAATTGGAACTAAGAACCTTTTTGAGATATGAACTCCTTCAAACCCCTCTGGTTTGTTTGTTTGGAAGGAGGAGACTTTGATTTACAACAAAACGGAAAACATATCACAAATGTGTACAATCAAAATCAAAGAAATCGAAATTACAAATGTACACAAATATTGGACAGTGAGTTATGTTTGATAATCTAAAATCAATCAACATCCGATCCGAAAATATTTCTCATCAACCAACTGTAAGCTACAGGACATTTCCTTTGCTCCTACAACGACAAAAACAAACGTAGAAAAATGAAACTCTACCCCACGAATCTATCACTTCCTTTTCTTCTCGAGAGCTTTCTCACCAACCAAACATAAACAATTCACCAAGAAACCTTTCAGGGTTTACTATATATATGTGCATAAATATAAATAGAGAAGAGAGAGAGTGAGGACCTCGGGGGCAAGGCGCTTGCAGTGGCCGCACCAGGGGGCGTAGAAATCAACAAAGATGTAGTCGAAGGAGGCAATCGCAGAGTCGAGGTTGGATTCGGTGAGCTCGAGAACTTTCCCATCGACCGAGAATTGTGGCGGTGACGAAGACGAAGAGAGGGGTATTGAGATTGATGAAAGCAGAAATAGAATGGTTGGTAGGATAGCCAGGAACCGCATCTTCTTTTTGGATCGGATCAGAACCGAAATGACCTTTTCCTTCTTGCTGCTCTCTTTTCTCCGCTACTGCGAAGTTACGTCAATGGCTTTCTTCTTGTCGTTTTGTGTGGGAAGGATGAGTGGTTGTTCGGCCATGTTTGATGACGGAGGAAACTGCCTTATTTTTATGGTATCTCAAATATTTCTTTTTAAAATTAGAATAAATTCAGAAATTTAGTACTTTGCAAATTTATATTTATTTTAATACAAATTAATGTAAAGTTTACATTAAATTTTTAATTATCATAATAAAATCTTCAGTCTCTTAGATTTAAATTTATAATTTTAATTTTCTCAAAAAAAGAAAAAAAATTATAACTTTAACTTACAAATAAATTTTATTAAATATTTAGATTTATTTCAAATGTAACCTTAACGATTGGAACAGTTTGAATATTATTCAGTGAATGATAAATATTAATATTTTAACAATTAACAGATTAATAATTATGAACTCAATTTTATTCTAATATTTTTTTTATAAAATATAAATAAAGTATGTTAAAGACAAAAAAAATATTAATATTTTTGTAATAACGTTTTAGAAAATAATAATTGTAACATAAATTATATATTTTTTTTAGTAATTTTGACTGAGATTAGAATAGTAATGGTGAAATTATAATATATGCAGTTTCTTTGTGTGTTAATGCAAATCTCAGAATCTCAATTCCATTTAGAATTCTTTTTTCGGGTTATCTAGAATTAGCTTCCATAATCAAATTGTAATTTTCAAACATTTTCGTCATAATGGATTTTCTTTTCTTTAAAGAAAAACTAAAATAAATAAATAAATAAATAAAAATACATCATAACTGTTTAAAAAACAAGGGTAAATGACAACTCCCTGTCTTATTGTAGTTAAAATTTTGTAAATTTTTTTTTTTTTTTTTTTTTTTTACTATTTTACATCTTAAGATCCAATTGGGTGAATGAAAAAATGAAAAATTAAATAAACCATTTAAAATTAATAAAATTTTGGTATGCTGCTAAACTTTTTCTTTTCTAGTTTATCCTACTTATGCAAATTAAACATTGTTTCATAGGCACCAGATGTAAGAATTATACTCCTAAGTTGAACTACCTCAAATTAAGATGACAGATATCCTGAGGAAGCAGTTGGTTGGAAAAAGTTATTCCACCCTCAAACGCTTTGAATGGGATTGCTTCATCCAGTCAAGACATTCCTCAGCAGTCCCACAAGGATGGGCTAGCTGCCATGCCAGCAATTTTTGTTGCTGCAAAAATACCACAGAATTAACATTGAAACTTCTTAATTAATTCTTCCTTTCTCGAGGTTTCATAACAAATGCCTCACCCATTCTCTAACAAGAGGTCCTCCCGCTTTAAGCTGCAAAACATTCATGATCTCCTTCCCATTCACCAGCGGTTTTACTTCCCATACTTTATCCAAACCTGCAATCCAACAAAAATTGGGAATATCAGACAATGGCAGTAAAGATTCAATTCTTTGACTTTCATAATGCATATGCCAATTGCCATGCATATTCCCAAAGCCCAAGCCCAGTTTAGCTATACCTAGTGTGTCAAACGAGGGATGCTATCATGCCTTGGAAGCATGGTGCCTCTATTA